CCCCCCACCCCTGGACAAGCCAGAAACCGGGAGTCTGGCTCCGGTTCCTTCCCTGGCCCTCTCCCCTTACCAGCCAGGAGTCCTGCACAGGTACTCATCCTCCCTGTCCTCCGTTTCTTCACCTATGGACGAGGATGGTCACAGTACCTCCCCAGCTGGGAGGGTTAGACCTAAAGCACTGAACACTCCCTGGCACTTTAGAACATGTAGCTGTGGAACTTTGGGAAAGTCGCGTTCTCGTCTCCCACTGAAGGGGGCGGTATTAAATACTCTCCCAGGCCACTCCTAACTCCCATCTGTCCTCATTTCTGAAGTGATTCCCCCAAATGCAGAAAAATCGAAGGCGGGCACTGCACTGGGCAAACTGCAGTTGCATAATCGGGTGGTCTCCCCCACCCCGTGTCTGGCCAACCCCAGCCTTCTCTGCTGACACACGGGTCTGGCTAGTTACTCCATCTTCCACAGACGTTTTCTCCCAAGCTCAGGCTGGTGTGTGGCCGCAGAGAGTTCTGGAACTGCAACCCTGCAGCCCCTGGAGGGAGAGCTGGCTGCCACAACTGAAGAGGTAGATTTTAGCTTGAACCCATCCAGCCTTTAAAGGCATTCAACCACTCCCAGGCATGCCCATTGGCAAGGGTCTCCCCTCCTGAGAACACCGCTGGCCCAGCACGGTCTGTTACAGACAAGGATCTCACCGCATTACTATTGCAGCCCACCTGTTCCAACTTGTCACTTCCCTGCTTACAATTTTCAAAGTGTTCCAAGAGCCTTGAAACCATTTCTCCTGGCATTCAAGGTTCCCGTCTCCCTTTACAGCAGCGGTTCTCAACCTGTGGGTCGCGACCCCTTTGGCGGTCGAACGACCCTTTCACAGGGGTCGCCTAAGACCATCCTGCATATCAGATACTTACATTACGATTCATAACAGTAGCAACATTACAGTTATGAAGCAGCAACGAAAATAATTTTATGGTTGGGTCACAACATGAGGAACTGTATTTAAAGGGCCAGAAGGTTGAGAACCACTGCTTTACAGCCTTACTGAGTATCCCCTTCAGCCACTGCCCTAAACTGAGCATTCCCCTTGCCCTCGCCCCCGTCACTCGGCATTTCTCTCCTCCACCCGTCCAAGTCCTGTCATCCTTTCACACGGACGGACGGCCCCTGCTCTGCACTCACAGGGGCCACCTGTGTGTTCCACATCAGCTCTTAAGCACTTGTCGTCACACCGCATTATTTCATTCATGCCGCTCAATTGCTGCCACTTAACTGTTTTCTGGAGAAAACAGTCAAGGAAAGCAAGAAAAATGCTAGATCTTTCTATATTCCCACTTTGCCGGAACCCAAGTATTTCCAGAGGGGTGAATTCCCCTTCTGAGTGTTCTCCTTGCCACAGCTACACCGAACACTAGGTGGCGCCCAGGTGGGTATCCCATTTCAGACCAGACCTCCTCTTGAGCCACAGAAAGCCTTGATCTTTCCTGTGAATATAAAGGCAGCGATCCAGGTAAAAGTTGAGACAATTATACCAAGGTGTAAATTATATCAACAGGTGCCTGAGGAGGCAACACAGTCTCTGCCAAGATTCCTTCCAAAAGGAGCCAGATAGCGCCCAGCACCCTCTGAAGCCCAGCTTTGATCTTTTCAGTGAAAATAGAGCTGAGGCTGCGCCCATCCCTCCGGCTACTTGGGGGCAGGGTGAGTCTGAAGCACCCAGCAGCACCCGTGCGCCTTTCTGAAATGTCCTCTGGGATTAGAACAAGGTGGAGGGGGAGGGCAGTCAATCACGCCAAGAATCTGGCAGGGACCACTGTCCCCTGCCTCAAACATGCTGGCAGTGGCCATGCACTTTATAGGTACTGCCAGGGGAAGGGGTGGCAGACCAACCCTGGCTTGAAGGTGAGGCCTTGGTGGGTGGTGGTCCCTCAGGGTGGGGGCTCTGCTGGGTTGTCGCCTCCAGGCAAGGCTAGCCTGCAGCCTTGTCCCAAATGGTTCTCGTGATTATATTTCTCCAATGACTGCAGACAGCCTTAGAGAATGCAGGAGGTACTTTGGATCGTGCCCCTTTCTGCCCATCCTCTGGGTAAGTCAGCAGGATTGGCAGCCTCCACAGCAAAGGGCACAGAGAGCACCAGCCCAGCCAGTGGTGGCAGAGCAGGGGATGGCACGGAGACGGGCGTGGCAGAATGGGCCTGGGGCTGCCTCCTGTGCCTCTGCTGCCCACCCTCCAGCATCCCTTCCCCTCCCCAGGCTCTCAGGGAGAAACCCATTCCTGCAAACCACCAGGGACCATCCGGTAAAACAGGCATCTTTACAAAGGGGCCCAGGAAGAGCAGGACCCCCAGCTTCATCAGCTGGTAGGGCAAGGGGTGAAGGGAGGAGAAATCCTATCTAATAAAAGAGCAATATGCAAATTAACCATCACTCCATGACAAAGATGGCTGTGCCCATAGTGGCCGGGATGGGACGCTGGCAGCATCACCTCAGCAACGCGAGCCTAGCATCCACACCCTGGCCACTTGGAGGAAGGGGAGGGGCTTCTGGCCAGAGGCCTGGGTGCAGGACGCTGGGCTTGCCTCACCCCTGGTGACATGAGCCCAGGGTCCCCGCCCCAGCCACACAGAGGGGAGGGGCCCCGACCGCACAAAGGGAGGGGAGGGGCCTTGGGCCATAGGCCAGGGGTGAGGGACACTGGCGTCATTGCAGGCCGGGCTGAGGGACCCCCCCCACTGTGCAGGAATTTCGTGCACTGGGCCTCTAGTATGTGAATAAAGCCTTTGCTCCCAGCAGTAGGGAGAAGCCAGGGAGGAGAGGACAGGAAGGAGGGGCAGCTCCTTTATTTTGTCCCCGTATATATATTTATTGAGCTCACGTCAGGAACTTTGCACCATGAATACCTCTAGCCTGTGACCCTCCCATCTCCTAGATACTAATCTCCACGGCCCAGCCTGCCTAACCCCTGCTGCTCAATGGTGACGGATGCAATGTCCGCCTCAGAGATTGGTGCAGAGGCTGCCCAGCAGGGGGAAGTGAGAGTATCTAGCAAAAGCCTGGGAAGGTAAGACAGGCCCCAGCCTCCGGCCTCACCCAGTGAGGGGGAAGGGGCCCATCACCCACCATCGCCCTTCCATGCCAACTTGTTATTGGCATGGCCCTGGCGCGGAGGTGCCCACAGAGTCCGGAGGTGTGCTCAGGCCTGGGAGGTGAGGGCTTTAGGCGCCGAATATCGCTGGCGGGCATGCTTCTCGCAGTACAGCTCATCCCCCACCCAAAAGTGCCCACGCATCTTCAGGTTCAGCCCGCAGTCCGCGCAGGTGTAGCAGCCAGGGTGGCGGTACCTCCCCTCCTGGATGCGCACGGCCTGGTTCCTGAGGGAGGAGGGTCGGAAAGCCATACGTTAGCCCAGGCGTGATGCTCCCCAGAGCCCAGAGGCAGGACCTGGGAAGATCCCCAAATCTGACTCTTGACCCCGCATGCCTGCCCTCAGGAATCTCACTTCAACAGCCCCCAGCCCCAGAACCCTAATAATAATAATAATAATAATAAAGTCATTTCTCCCCCACAAAAGCAGGTAAACTCCATCCTGTATCTCTGGGTTGTTAATGGAGCAGTGGTTCTCAATGTGTGGTCCCAGGTGCTAGGACCACAGCATCGCATTGTCTGGGGACAAGCTGGCAAGGCAGCTCTGGGGCCAGGGCCCTGCTGAAGAGGCAACTAGGTGCAGGCCCAGCAGTGTTGCCACCAGCCCAGGGCCCTGGGCTGCTCTTTGACATGGGACACAGTCCTCTGTCAGTGCAGCAGTGTGGGCTCTCCCATTCTGCAGATGGAACACAGAGGCCCAGGGAGCGGAAGGGATTCGCCCAGAGTGAGTCACCTGCCCCTCCACACTGTGCACGGAACAACTTTTTCCAGGGGAGCCTTTCAGCAATTTTCCAGAGAACGTGGCTGCACTGCGATGCCACCCACTGAGAACAATGAACCTGCCTCTGGAAACTTCATCCTGTTCCAACGCGGTACAGGACGGTGAGAGCAAGGTTTCCCAGGAGGAGGCTCCTCGTCTAGAGCAGATCTCCAGAGACTGGAGATCATGCAGATAAACCCAAACGCAGTAGCACGTCTTCCTTCATCCTCCACCGGGAGGGGGGCAGAAATCAGGGAGGAGGGGGAACTGCAGGACAAAGCCAGCCGGGCCTCCTGCGAAGGCTGACAGTGACCCACAGAATGTCTGACGGCTCCACTTGTCACTGTGCCCTCCAGGGCCCCTGACGGGTTGTTCTGTGCAGCCCCCCCTGGGAAGCACCCTGTGCCCTACCCCCACCCTGCCTCCCAGGCGGCCAGACTCACGCAATGCTGGTGCTGCACTTCTCACACGTGTGGAGCTTGGGCGGGGTGGCCGGGGCCCTGGGGGTGGGCAAGGAGGACTGGGGGCTCAGGGAGCTGGGCAGGAAGGCAGGTGTGCCACCTGGGAGGAGTGAGGGCAGACAGACACATCAGAGCTGGCCCACCGCAGCGGCAGGCTGTGTTTACGCGCACTCCACCTGCTCCAACACGCCGCCAGGACTCACACTTACAGGCGGGCCTCTGGGGTGGCACCAGGCGTGAGCGTGGGGAGTGGAGGAAGGAAGCGATCCGGCAAGATCCCTGGCTGAGGCTGGGCAAGTGCAGGAAGCACACGGGAGGCTGCCTGCCCAAGCCAAGGAGCAAGCTGGGAGTGCCTGCGTGGTGCCTGACCCAGCAGGCCGAGCAGACGGCTCCCTTCGTGCAGCCCCGTCGTGATGATGTTAATGGGCAGTAATAATGGGTGGTAACCTTTGTACAGTTTTCAAAGGGCTCTTATGTGCATTATTGCCTCTGAGCTTTGGACCGCGCTCAGGTGAAGCACAGATATTACGAGGGAGTGACGGTCCCCATTTGCAGCTGATGCCACGGAGACTCCAGTGTGAGGTCACCACCCATCTGCCTCTCCCTCCAGGGGCCCGCCAAGGCCTCAGGGTCACACTGGACAAAACTGGCTCCACCCCAACCCCTGCCTCTGTGCACACCCCTAGGAACCAGACATCAGAGTTGGAAACAGCCACCAGGTTTTAGTGATCCTGCCACTCACATACTTCTCCTGCCCGGCCCATCCTCGCGCTCCCTGATGCCACTGCCCAGGCCAGGCCTCCCCATCTCTCCCCTGAAGCAGGACAGTGGTCCCTCCATAGGAACGCCTGCAGCAGCCTCCCGTTCCTGGGGCCGGGCAGGCCTGGCAGCCCCAATAAACAGAGCTCCTCATGGACAGACATGGGCCCTGACCACCTTTCCTCTCCACACTCTGCACAGGCCGGTCCACGGGGGGCACAGGCAACGGTCGGCAGGAGCCCGGATCGCCTGAACTGCTGCCTTCGGCATCGCAGGCGCCGCCTGCGTTAATTATCTAACTGGCCCTCCTGGGTTAGGCCACTCCGAAGCCTGGCACTCGAGGCCTCACAGCCAGGGCCACCTCCCTGCTGCCAGGCCGCTGTCCTCTGCTCCCACAGCCAAGAGCTCGCGGCTGCCGGCCTCCACATTCCGCAGCCGGCCTGCCACCGTCTGAAGGCTGCTTGGTAAAGGCTTCATCTTTCTTCAAGGACCATATCAAATCCCTCTTCCTCCACGAAGCCCTCCCTGGAGACCCCACCCCCCCCCTCGGTTGTTCCCTTGGCAGTTTCCTGATCCCAGCTGGACCTCTGAGGGCGCCCGGTAACCCCCGACTGCAAGCTCCTTCAATGCAGGACCTGTGGTCTCAGTGCCCCTGGGTGCCTGCCCCCTGGTGAGCACTTAGGAATCACTAGGTCAATAAGCTGTCCACCCAGGGCCCAGGGGTGTCCTGGGGAACCTACTTCCCCTCCCGAACCACCACCACCACCCCGAGCCTCACCTCTCTCCTCGGCCTCCAGGGCTTCCTGCAAGAGTTTGAAGGAGCTGGACTGCCGGGGGGCCACCCGCCCCTCACGATTCTCCTGCAGCATCTTGAAGACCTCCGAGTCCTCTCGCAGGAGTTGGCTTCCCCTCTCCGAATCCATACTGTGGGGATGGGAGGCAGCCAGGAGTGAGGTCCGGTCCGGGTGTCAGGACGAGCTGCCTGGACTTAGAGAGGCAGGGACCCCCTCCATCCCTCTCTAGGAAGCCAGTCCCTCCTAGTCCTCCGAGATCCCACCCTCCCTCCAAGGCTCGCTGGTACCTGAGTCTGGGACTGGAGGGCTGGGGGCCCGGGGAAGGCGGCAGCACCCGCACTGCTGAGTCGCCAGCGAGGCCGAGGCCAGACTGTGGGAAGGAGAGGCACCAGGGGAGGAGTCAGCGTTGGAGCCTTCGGCCAGCACACCCAGCGGGCCGCCAAGGCTGGCTATTCCCAGGCCCAACACCAGAGGGCCCCCCTTCCTGTCCCCCTCCATGGGAACCCGACCAGGTCACCGGCAACTGTTCCTGTGCGCCCCGAGGGGAGGGAGGCAGCACCCAGCTATGGAGGTGGAGGTGTGAGGGCTCTGCAAGGGGACTGGGCGGGAGGGGCAGGATAAAGATAGGGGGTGACAACCAGCTAAATTCAGACAAAAAGCAAATTCCTCTGTTATCTCGGGCCATGTGTTTGGAAAGATGCTGCATGTTGGGGCCTGTCTGCTCTGACAGAACAAACGAAGAAGCCAGCCCTCTGCCCCGAGGAAAAGGCAACATAAAGGGGAGGAGGGAAGAGGCCAAGCCCCCTCTGGGAGTCGGGGCTGGAGCTGCACAAAGGACCTCTCACCCACCGCACTGGTTCCCTTCTAGGAGGGCCAGGGTCTGGGCCCACCAGCCTCTCCAGGCCGCCCTGGGAGGTCTGGTCCTGCCCCGGGCAGCCTTGGGGAGCCAGGGTGGTTCTGGGCCCACAGCCCAGCAACAGTGCCCTCTCCCTCCCCCGTGTGCACCGTCCATCTTGGGCTCTTACACCTGCTCTCCACATGGGCATCTCCCTTCCACCTCCGTTGTTCCGCTCCCGCTCCGCCCCGTCCCCATGGAAAGGAGAGCCTGAGGCCCCAGGCAGCCATGCTAGGGCAGTTTCCTGGAAAGCCAAATCCCCTCCGTTTTAAAATTAAAAGTCAGGAATGAATTATGGGGTTGAGTGAAAAACCTGCATGAGTTCCTAAGCTAAAGGGGAAACATCAGAGTCTTGAGAAGACAGCCCCAGACCCTCTCCCTGCCTCTCCCACCAGCCCGCATTCCTCTGCTCACAGCCTCTGCGGGCAAGCCTCGCACAGTGAGGAGACTCAGCTCAGAAGGGCAGCAGCTGGGATCGGAGGCAGGGCTGGGAGTCCACAGCCCAGAACCTGGTGCCCAGCTGGTGCCAGGTGGTCGACAGAGGACGGTGAGAAAATGTCCTCAGGAATGACGTCCAGCACCAGCTAGTGACTCAAGAATGATGTCCCATCTCGCTGTCCCAGACAGGCTGGCACATGCCCTACGGGGGGGGGGGGGGGGGGGTGGGCAGTGGGAGGGAGGGCTGAAATCCGGCCCCCGTTCCTTCAAAAGCCAAGCCCTCGTGCCAGCCAGAGGGAGAGGTGCTGTCTCACTTCACATCTGCTCACCAAGGCTTCTGCCTCCCGGAAGGGCAACCCCCCCGTTTCCAGACGGACACCGTAAGGGCTGGTGGCGTCCTGCGCTTGGCCCAGCGGGGCCTCGGCCTGCTCAGGAGCCAGCAGCCAAGCCGCAGCCACAGCAGACAGTCACCTCCACCCCTCCTCCCTCCAGACCAGCACACCTGGTGGAGAGGCACCCGCCTCCCTCACTCAGAGCCACCGCCTTCCTCTTCCCCCTTCCTCTGTCAGCTCAGGAAGGACACCTGTCTCCACAGAGGCAACCTTTCCCCTCCAATAGAACACCTGCTCATCTGCCACTAGGAGCCGTGTGTGGCCCAAAATGTGTTCTGGGTAACATAGGAGACAAATACTAGTGAGTGAGTGGCAGGGCAGGAGGGTAGGCATCAGCTTAGGAAATTAAATGTGCTTCTCTCTCCTAGGACTCTAGTGCTTTAAGGTGCTAAGGTGCAGTGACACCACGAGGGAGCTAAGGGGCTCTGTGACTCCCACACCACCTGATTTGTTTCACTTGTCGACCAGAATGCAAACTTAGCTGGGTTAGGAATTTCTGTTTTTCCGCCACTGCTTCCCCAGAGCCCAGAACCGTGCCTGACACCCTGCAGCTGCTCGCTAAGTATTTGCTGAAGGAATGACAGGGGCCTGAGGTCAGAGAGAGAGGAAGGGGGCTCATCCAAGGTTACACAGTGGAGGTGGGACTAGCCGTCCTGCCACCTCTCCCTGCCACCCTGCCCAGGGCTCCTCCCTACATGACTGGGGCCACTGGGGAGGTCTTCAGATCTTCCCAAGCATCGGACCCCCGAGGGCTCCTTAAAACAGATTGGTGCCCCACCCCCTGCCTGTGTCCGACTCAGTAGGTCTAGGCTGGAGCCTGAGGATTTTCACTTCTAACAAGTGCCAAGGTGCTGCTGCTGGTTTGAGAGCCACTCCTTGTACCACCCAAATGCCCCCTTTGCCAGGGTTGGGGGCACCACAGGAAGGAGGCCAGGATGGACCCGCCCTCTCCAGCCATGGCCTAGGACAGTGGTTGGCAAACTGCGGCTCGGCAAACCACGGCTCGCGAGCCACATGCGGCTCTTTGGCCCCTTGAGGGTGGTTCTTCCACAAAATACCAGCTCTTCCACAAAATACCGACTTCTGTGCATGGGCCACGAACTTTCAATCGCACTGTACGTGCGCACCCACACGTGGTATTTTGTGGAAGAGCCACACTCAAGGGGCCAAAGAGTCGCATGTGGCTCGCGAGCCGCGGTTTGCCGACCACGGGCCTAGGATAAGCTTGTTCCACTGCTCATCTGCTTCTAACCTAAACCCCTACCGGGTCCGACCTCCCGACCCTCCAGCAAAACCCCTGACAAAGCCTTCTGAGGCCACCCCAGTCCACACTCATCTCCCGCTCCAAGAAGGCCTCCTGCTTTTCTAATTAAGACCATACTGTTTAGTGCTTAATTGTTCCAAAGTTGTTTCGCATGTTTGTCTTATCTCCACAGCTACATTTAAAACTGTTTGAAGGGATCTCACGGAACACATCGTTATGCCCACAGGCCCGGCGGGCCACTGGGCAGGCCCACAGCCGGTCGCCTGGGACCCCGATGCAGCCCCCAGAGGACCCCCTTTCTTCTCCAGAGCCCCCAGTCTCTAGTACCCTCCCCTCGCCACCCCCAAGGCTCTGCTTTCTGGAATGCAGATCAACCGGAGTTCGGATTCCAGCAGCTGGGCCTCATCCCCTTCACCCCAAAGGCTGGACATGGCCCCCCAACTCTGCCCCCGGCAGCTGTGGCCCAGAGCAGTTGGCTGCCTCACTCCCTCACCTCTGCACCCGGCCCTTAGAGATGAGAAACACCACCAAGGGGGGTTGGGCTGTCACTAGTGGACAGTGGGACCTGGGGTGGGTGGCCCCCCAGGAAGGAAGGCAGGGTGGGGCAGACAGACAACGGGCCAAGTGCAACTTCAGGCAGAACCACAGTCCCACTGGTGGTTCCCTGGGCTGAGCCCGAGGAAAAAGAAGGGGATGGGGTGGTGGAGGGGGGCAGGCATGGGGCTGGAATAGGGAGGAATGTGTGCAAGGGATGCAGCCAGAGCCAAAGGGAACCATCCCAACAACAGCAGCAAAACTATGTCAGTCGCAGCCCAAGAGAAACACTCAAGAAGGGAGGAAGCCGGCAGGAGGCAGGGAGGCGGCAGCGAGTGGGAGTGAGGTGGTGGGAGGCCACCTGGACCAGTGGGGCAGGGCCGGAGCAGCCAATGTGACCCAACAGCAGATAGGATGACCTCCTGGCTCCAGAGAAGGGAGTGTCTGCTGCCAAGAGACAGAGGCCCGCTGCCCAGGTGGGATCAGCCACCTGCAGCCCCATAGGCACCACTGACAACCAGTGGGCCTGGGAGGCTCTCCCCGCCCCCCAGGACCCTCACCTGGCGGCGTCCGGGGTGGCCTCCATAGGACAGGCGGTCAGCAGCAATGAGTCCTGGGTTGTGTGCCAGGCTCTGGGAACTGAATGGGGGAAATGCACAGTGTGTGTGCCAAGCCCTCCCCCCTCCAGACTGCCCCAGGGAAACAGAGGGTGCCCCCGTGTCCCCTGAACACAGCTATTGAGACCGAGAGGCCTGGCCTGGGCCTGGCAGCGGGGATGCCCACCCCCTGCACTCACCTTCGGCTCATCACCGCCTCCCCAGCAAGGGCATGCGGGCTGGTGGGGGCCTGGGTGGAGAAGGGGCTGCATGGCTGGGGGCTGAGGGAGGCTGGGCTGGAACAGGAGGACCGGAGGGAGGACTGGCTGTCAGTGTGTGTCCTCACTGAGCCCTGTGGAGACAGGACCCTGAAGAGTGGTCTGCCCACCCCCGGGGCCCTGTCCCTCAGGCCTCCCCTCACTGCCGGTGCTGGGGCTCCAGGCTAAAGGCACCAGCCTACCTGGAAACGTGTGGCCAGCACCTCCATGGTGCTTTCCCCGTTGGTCTGCCCAGGAGAGGCGGCCCGGGACCTGAGGAGAGGACAGAGAAGGGGTGTCAGAGGGGTCCTGGACCCTGCTTAGCTGGTAGGGGCTGGGGATTTCAGCTGCCCCCACACCAGGTTCTCAAGAGGAGTAAAATGTCCAAAGCGTTCAGACAGTGGTTTGTCAACTTGCAACTTGGCCAAATTCAAAATCAATAACTACTGTCGTCAGCCACCGTTATTTCTTAAAGGACAGTTTAGCACCAAAAAGTAGAAAGGAATAATTTCAGCAAAAACTTCCATAAATTCCATTTTATTTAAAAAACTCCTCATACTACCAGTATGCCCCCCCTTTTTTTTTCATTTTATCCAAACTTTGTCTCTGATCAGCATCAGTTTGACAGATCAATTTGCGGGGAGACTGCTGATTTCATAAAATAACCCTACATCTTTGCCCAGCGAGAACCTGACACCCAGAGAGGAAGAGGTGCCCAAAGTCCTAAAGCCCAATAAGTGGCTGGGCCAGCTGCCCACTGTCCCCAACCAGAGGCCTGTCCCTCACAGCTCGGCCACTGTGGATGCCTTTGAGAGAGTCAGTCCTGGTCCCTTCCACAGGCTCCTCCTCCATAAAACAAGGGTGGAGCTGTCCCCCTTCCCGCCAGGCAGGCAGCTGCAGGACCTGGAGACCAGCTCCCCGGCCAATCACCAAGGCAGCCAGCCAGAGGGCTCCCCCTTCCGCCCCCCCAGGACTGTCCTCCAAAGCTCTTTCCTATAGAGCCAGCTGGAGCCTTAGAGACGCCATTGAGGGCTGAGAGCTGGCCGAGGAAAAGCGCCTGCCAGGACCCATCTCCACTGCACCATTCCTGATGAGGCCACTTCTAGAGAGGTCAGCAGGAACCTCAGTCACCACACACCACGTCAGCCACAGCCTCAGCCTCTCGGGCAGGGGGTGGGGGGTGCTGCTGTGAAGTCAGAGTGAGGGGAGCTTGGGTTGAGGCTCTAGCCCAAAGCACTGCTTCCTGCCACAGGGCTCTGAATGCCTAAAAGGTCATGGGGGGTGGGGAGGGGGTGTTCAGGGAGGATTAAGAGGGGGCTGGGCAAAAAAAAAAAAAGGAGAAACAGGGAACCTTGACCTGCCCAACATGGAGCTGGAGGCCTGGGGGTACTCAGCCAGGCTCACCTCCCTGAGGAAGTGATGGTGTCAGCAGCTCCCTGCCCCTCCCCCACCCCACTCTGCAGCCTCTTGTAGATTTTGGTCCCCTTCCCAGATGCCATGAGGTACTCCCCATCCTCCTCCTCTAGGTCCCACTCCTGCAACACTCCTGGGCCAGAGGAGCAAGAAGGAGTCACTGAAGGGGCTGGGGCTGCCCAGGGCATTGTGGGAGCCAGTTTCTACAGCCTGTGGGCGGGAGGGCCAGGAGAGGGCATAGAGCAGGGGTGGGCAAACTTTTTGACTCCAGGGCCACAATGGGTTCTTAAATTGGACCGGAGGGCCGGAACAAAAGCATGGATGGAGTGTTTGTGTGAACTAATATAAATTCAAAGTAAACATCATTACATAAAAGGGTACAGTCTTTTTTTTTTTTTAGTTTTATTCATTTCAAATGGGCCGGATCCGGCCCGCGGGCTGTAGTTTACCCACGGCTGGCATAGAGTCAGGGCCCAGGGAGAGCCTAGCAGGGCAGAGAGGAAGAACCTGACTCAGATTCAAGGCCCTCCAAAGGGCTCTCCTGGCTGG